TCCTCACTCAGATATTAACAGTAGTGAAGGAAAATTTCCAAAGTACTGTGGAACAATATATTCAAGAAGTGGTGTGAATTTGATGTAGATACTCAAAAATTCCGAAGAACTTTTGGACAATTTGAAATAACAAGACTTAACCAAAACCAACAGCTTAAAAACTTACAACTTTGCAACTTTATATACAACCCATCCACCTGATAAATTAAAGTCCAGGCTTTTTGATATCATTGACGGCTGCTTTTTCAATCAAAATGGAACTCGTAAATTTACTTACCTGGTATTTGTCATTTGCAAAATTATTTTGTTAAAACACTTTCTGATTGCACACACAAGTACTCTGAAGTTGACATCAAAAAGATGCTTGAGTTTTTATTGACAATATCTATGTGGTTTTTGGAGATCAGGTCTTCCATCAATCTATTAAAATCCCCATGGGTACAAATTTCGCTTTGTTATTAGCAGACCTATTTTAGTATTCATATGAAGCAGAATTTGTACAAAAAAATTTTATATGTGAAAAGAAGAAAAAACTTGTTGTGGTCTTCAACTCAATATATAGATATATCGATGATGGACTGTCAATTAACAATGATAATTTCTATTCCTATGTCGATACGATCCCGGGGAGCTTGAGATAAAAGATACCACAGAGTCTGACACATCTGTTTCATTTTACATTATACTTTAAAAAGACATTAATGGTAATCTAACAACCAAGCTCTATAATAAACGTGATGACTTTTATAACGTCAACTTCCCTTACTTATGCAGTGCATGTTCATCACCTTCATACGGAGTTTATATATCTCAGTTGATTCGATACGTAAGAGCATGCTTCACGTATGAACAATTTCTTAAAACGAGATAAATTATTGACCAACAAGTTGATGAGACAAGAAACAAGAATATCAGCAGTCTCGTTGAAAGTCAAATTGAAAAAAAAAAATGCAAAAAGTATTTTATCATGATTAAATTACGCGATAACATAATCTTTATTCACAACCTACAGTTGTATTTCCCAGTATGTGTACTGTTAAACCACATACTTTCGTGGATTCAAATTTTTGTGGTTTGCAGAAAAACTCTTGGTTCGTTGGGGTTTGTTTTCATTAATGAAGAATTGTTGAGTAAATATATTGTAACATTTTACATTTCATGGTTGACATTAATTCGTGGTTTTCATTATACACCAAAAAAAAAAAAAAACAACGAAAATTAAAACCCCACGAAAATTTTTGATTTCACAATATTTCATATTTACTTCAAAAGTGTTTAAAATGTGAAAATGTGGACCATTACAGAAACAACTAAGAGGGAAACCATTTATGTCTGTGGGTATTTAGATATTCGATAATTTTGTGATAAAGGAATACAAAAATTTAATTATCATCTGAAAGGTGGTAGAAGAAGATTTTTTTTTAGATTTTACCTATATATTCCTATGTGGAACTTTGATCAGCCATTGTGGCCCCGCCCTACCCCAGGGGTCATGATATGAACAAACTTTAATCTGCACTACCTGAGGATGTTTCCACTAGAGTTTCAATTTTCCTGGCCAAGTGACTCTTGAGAAGATTTTTAAAAGATGCCTTTAATTTTTTGCTAATTCATAATTATCTCCCCTTGAAAGAGGGCATGGCCCTTCATTTGAACAAACTTGAATCCCCTTTAGTTACCCAAGGATAATTTGTGACAAGTTTGGTTGAAATTGCTTCTTGAGAAGAAGATTAAAATGTGAAAAATTTACAACGACAACAACGATGACGAGAGACAACAGACAAATTTTAGATCGTAGGCTCAAGTGAGCTAACAATTGAAATAACATCAGGTCAATACAACTGTTTTTGATTTAGAAAAAATCCAAATGTTGATTCATGATCTTGAATTAAAGGAATAATTCCGAATAATTACGAAACACCATGGTAAAATTTACATGATACAACTTGTCGTGTGTTATTAGATAAATAAAAATTTTCCTTTATATTACATTTTTTCCAAACTCAATTTAAAAGTAAAGGAGTGTAGTACAGATATATGAAAAACAAAATTTTATCACTTACCGTTGGATTGGCTTCCTGGATGGATTTTTTGAAAATAATAATCGATCTGTCACTTCTTCTGACCGATTTTAAAGTCTATCATACCCGTTTTCAAAAAATGATTATCGATTAGTTTTATTTTTTGAAAGACGTGATTTGCAATTTGAAATCGCTCAACAAGAACGGGGCGCAAACAGTGAAACTTTGAACAAATGAAAATGTCTTAAATATCGATTGAATATTTGTTGAACATCTCATTAAATAATTCTTTCGCTTATAAAAGTGACACCACACAAGTATACTATAAACATAAGGATTTAAGATCTATACGTGGCACTCAGGGCCATTTAGAAGCATTATGATTTTTTTTAATTGTGCGAAGGCCCATCTGACACGGGATCATTTTTTTTTTTCAAATTTTCTACTTCATTTTTTTATTTATATACAATTGTTACAATTTACCATTGTATATAGAATAGTTGTCAATTTAATTTATCATAGATTCAACGCAATGAATCCCTCAAAAGATCAAGAATATCCTACACTGACATGAAAATATATGTATGTGCCCAAGAGTGTTAAAAAACAATTGACTGAGTGAAAAGGGGTTTAATAAGAAAAATATCTACAGGCACTGTGAAAAATGAGTCGCAAAATGATACCCGGCCCGTCTCCCATATGGTTATAATAATGACGAAGTCCATGATGCTCAGAGAGACCCAAAATAAGTACCATATCAAAAAGTAAAGTAGGAGGTACACAACTGCATTATTTTATAAAGAATCTGTGAAAGTATCATTAAATTTTATTCAATGGTTTGAGAGGAGTTGCAGATATAGAAAGGGATGGGTACCTTTTAATATTATAGAAAGAATGACCATATCCATACTTTGCTCTTGAAAACCCAAAATATGTGTTCTATGAAGAAATGAATAACAGGTTTCAAAATAGCAATATGTAATAAAGATTTTGTGAAAGCATCATATAATTTCATTCAGTGGTAAAAGAGGAGTTGCGGATAAGAGATGGGTACCCAAAGCGTAACAGACGGATATCCCGATTACTATAATACCCTCCCGATTTTCAAGCGCGGAATATAATAAGCTAAGAGAAATAAAGAAGAATTTGAGGAAAAGAAAGCATACAAAACTTTTCAATCATCCATAATTGCTAGATCTCAGCCCTTTTATTCTTAAACTGTTTCCTTTTACTCCCCAGAACACATTAAAACAACCAAAGGATGTTACAATATCATATATGTCATGCAAAATGATATTCACCAGTGTCTTTGGGGCATTCTTTAACATGAGAATGATGAAGTTTTCTGTTCATGGATAAAAAGACCTATGACATGTGAAAAGGGTATTACAGTAACCGGGGATGCCTTGAGAGATTGAAACTACATGTAGTAAGAATATGTATCTCGTATTTAACCTATTTGTATATAACAGTTTGCATTATTTAATGAACGAGCCTCGTATTGCAGTTTACCTTGGCATGTTTTCGAACTGTGATCATCGATTACTGTATTAATTTTATTTTTCTCCAGGACTCTCTTTGCAATTTTAAATTGCTCAATATATACTAAAATAAAATCGAAACTTTTCTTTACCAATTAAAATTTTTCTTTCAATGCACCATATTTTTCAAATTGTACAACCCAGTAAATCTATAAAATACATTGTATTGAACAAATTCATCAAAACTCGTCTAACGAAAACAATGCAAGAAATGCTATGTAATGAAGAGAAAAGAAATATAGAGAACTATTTTTAATATCTTATGAAAATTTTCAAAACTAGATATACACATGAAGATAAACTATACAATGAACATTCATATGTAATGAATTCCCCACAAAAAGATCAGGATTTACAAGAAAGTTTCTCAGATATTTCCATGTAATTTTCATTTATTTCGAGTGGAACACAAAAAACATACAAATGCAAAATGCTATATAAATGTAGAGAAAGTTTTTACTTACCCGCGCTGTTAATTCACTACTTAATTGTGCCAAGAATCCAATATTAGATAGGTTTAGATAAATTTCTCAAGAATGTAAAAGCATTCAGTCATTTCATTACATATGTATTTTCTTGGTTAAATCCTTTGCACTCGTCATGTTTTGTAATACTCCATAAAAACAGGAAAATTCGTTAAATTTTGACATTTTCAGATGCCCTTCTGGAGACAAGACGATAGAATTTTGAGTATTTTACGTAATTTTGAGTATGTACAATTTAACATTGCCCATCATTTTTTATTAATTAACAAACAACGTATTAAAGTTTTTGTAAAATTTGGTTTAAAAAAGCAAAATATTGGCACTTTTCTGTAATCCTAAAGTAAATCTACCTTAATTTTGAGATTTTGAGACGGTCCCTTTAAATTTTAAATATACATAACAAGATATTGAACATACATCACCAGATTATAGAACATACATCACAATATTTCGAATATACATCACAAGATATTGAACATACAACACAAAATTTTGAATATACATCACAAAATTTTGAATATACATCACAAGATTTTGGATATACATCACAAGATTTTGTACATACATCACAAGATTTAGAATAAACATCACAACATTATCGAATAAAGCAACGTTTTACATTCCATACTCGCGTGGTGCAGTGGTCAGAGCGTCTGATCTAGCGTTGCGAAGTAAGGAGTCGATCCTTACGTCGCGGGTTCGAATTCCACAGTGGGAAGTGGAAACCGGTTCTTCGGATGAGACCGTATTTATAAACCGAGAACCCGTTGTGCAATAGGTGCTGGCCCGAAAAAGATTCCCCATTTCTCATAGGCTCTGAGTGCCGATTAAAGGACAAAATTGTAGCTCTCCATTGGCAGGTGGTGGCGACTTCACATATTGAAAATTTCTCGAAAGAGACGTTAAACTACATACGATCAATCAATCAATCAATCAACATTCATCTGATTAGACTATGATAATTTAATAACATAATCCTCTTCAATATCGTCAAGATTTTTCTTTTTTCTTTCATTCATTTCAAGAACGTGAAGTCTTCTGACAGATATTGCATGCTGTGTTTTTGAATCAATCTCTAAAAATTTTGAAGAAATATCTTTCATCTCCTGCACATCATAAATCCATACCGATATAGGACAAATTGGCCAAGCAGGACTCTCTATTTTTACTTCTTTTCGTTCGAATGTCCTTCCATTGAGAAGATCAAATTCGACATGGCCACAAAATTCTACTGCGGTATCCAGGAACGTATTCAAGTCATATTTTTCGGCTGCTATAATGTAATCCAGTAGTGTTGTCACTGTCAGACGTGTTCCCGGTTTGCACATGCTTGCCATAAACTTCTCACAATCAGTTACAAGAGGAGACTGGTACTCGTGTGCCAAAGGTAGTACTCGCAACACATTTTGTTCTAAAAAAAAAAGAAAGAAATCACCATGCCATCTTAAAAATATATATTTACATTCAGTGTTATTTTCTAATGAAATCCATTAGAAAGCTGACGTTCAAATCTCTTTAACACACGCCTAACCTGGTCCCCTGTCTCAACCTTGCCTAGTGACGCGGAGTATACGAAGCATAAGAGGGACAGAGAACCAGGCTAGTTTAACACATGCCAAACCTTGTCACATCGCGTTAGAATACACAGTAGGAACTAAATGCATTTCAAAACTCTAGGAACACCTAAATGTAGAATGCTTTATTTCAATTTTATGGAAAATAAAACCCTGATGAATTAACGTAATAATACAACAAATATGCGTTTGAAATTTATTTAACAAACATACGTTTGAAATTAATTTTTTCAATTTTTTTCCTCGCAATGTTCGTTTGCATTTTATTAAACTTTGCAACGTCACAAACGGCTTTTAAGCACACCGTTTTAAGGTCGCTAAATTCACATTAAAGATTAACAAAATAAACAAATATGAAGACTTTAAATAAGAGAATGTTAATATGAGCATTGAATTCATATTTTGGGATGTCGTCGGTCCTAACATCCGGTATTTAATTTGTTGACAAGACCAGGTGTGTCACAGAACCGAAGACATCCAAAAAATGAATTTAGTGCTTAAATCGATCTACATGTAATGAAACAATAACATTTTAAGCTTCTGGTACGCTGATACTTGTTTTTAAACTAAACAAGCAATCAACTTTTCAGTTGCATTTCTTTTGGGCCTTGGCGGGGGAAGGGGTGTTCCAAAATAAATCGAACAAGCAAAAAAAAAAAAAAAAAGAACCTTATTCACTGTCCAAATTCGGGAATTTGCCAGTGCGAAGCCTTACAGCAACAAAAAATAAGGGACCAGGCAGATATGATAAACATTATGAACTTTTCAATGGTCAACTTCCCTTACTTATGCAGTAATATTCCTTCATAACCCACATACGTTATTTATATCTCTCAGTTGATTCGATACGCAAGGGCATGCTCTACAGCAAATAAAATTTATCATGTCAAATGCTAACTGACCTTTTTCATACTATTGTTTAACTATTATATAAACAAGGATTTTTTCCCCATCATATCCCTATCATGACAAGAAGCATACGGCGGGTGTGACCGGTCGGCAGGGGATGCTCACCTTTCCATGGAAACTGATACTACCCTTGATTTTTTAGGTCTGTGATTGTTCTGTTTCAATGTTGTATTGTTAAATGGACTTTTGAGCTTGAATACTAGTACCGTTCGTTATCTCCATATATATAACATTTATGTAGTTTTATTCAAATGAATACATATGATCAATTTACCTGTGATTGCATGTTTCATGTTTGGATAAAAACATCGAAGAAACTCAATAAAATCCTTAGCCTTTTTGTTTTTTAGTGTTATCTCCTTTTCAGTACTTTCTTTAAAACTTCCGGAAAACATGGCGCTAAACACCGGTGAATGCTGGGAAAGGACAGCTTTGTTGACGTGAATTATCTTATCTTCTACAAGCAAAGTTACATCTGTTTCTGGAAAGCCATCATCGTCAGAGTAACACTCGCTTTTTGTCTCTGCCATTTCACTAAAAAGAATGGCCACTGAAATATTATTGTTACTAGTGACTGATATTATTAATTTATGCTTAATTTCTTTTAAATTTTTTTCGAACAATGTGCTGATGTTTGTTCATGGATTTTTCTGAGTTTTATCTTCAGATAACTACACGAAATACATGAAGTATTTAATTAAATATGCGTCCTGCACAGATGAATACCCAAAGTAGATGTATAAAATTATGTTAAAGTACTGTGTTGTACTCATTTGAAACTCGTAATTTATTTTATTAATTTCAAAAAGATACAAATCTGACAAAGCTCTCATTGAGGAATAATTTAAATAGATATGTAGAACACCACTACAAATACTAGAAATTGCCACTGAGTCAGTTTTACATGTAACTATTAAGTATTCTGCTAGTGTGCATTCCTTTATACTTGTTTAATTTTGGTATATGTTACTAAGCTACGCTCTCTCGTGTCATTATGACCACGCCCACTGGTTCTCTGCACATAACCAACAGTATAATATTGGATAAATACAGCAGATTTTATATGTTTGTTGAAAATAAATATACTAAACAGAAGTGTTAGTTGGTTTTGCCCAGTTTGTCTGTCTGTCTGTAAACGTTTCACATTTCAATTCAACCACTGAGCCAAGTTTTAACCAAAATTGTCACAAAGAATTCTAAATGAGATTCTATGTTGTTAAAAAATGTAGTTTATAGACGAGAGTAGGTTGGGGTCACAAGAGAGAAAATCTGGTGAAGAACAACAAGGCCAAAGTTACTCAGGTGAGCTTTGTGGCCCATGGGCATCTTGTTACTCAACACAACTTGTCTACATCATCGTATAGGGTAAGATAAGCTTTTTTTCTGATGGTGTTGAAAACAAAATGTATAGAAATACTGGATAATATCGAATAGCTTGATTCTATAAGGGCAGTTTTCGTGATTGAATAGTTTTTGCATGCTAAAACAAGAGGCACTGTATTTCTAAAATCGACGTACTTTTAATTACCGTCTTCCAAGGAAGACGGTATTGTATAGTTGAAGTTTTTCACAGTCTTCGGACTATGCACTTCCTCTCTTTTGTGATTGGTAGAAATTGCATGATGAGAAAATTTTCAATTATTTCATTGGTTGAAATGCTGTTCAAGGCAAGGGAGATAACTTTCTGATGATCTAATTTTCGTACGACTTAACAATTTTGCAAGATTTCCAATCTTAAAAAAAAAATGACAAAACGAACAGCAAAATCAGCAGTAATTAATTCTTAATAACATGGTATTTTTTTATAGCAATAAATAGAAAGGTCTCTTTAATTTCATTATAAATAAAATTTGATTTTTATAGCTTGTAGGCCTTACAATTTGTTATTATTCTTTTCCCCTTTCTTGTTTGAAGAAGGGAATGGAATCAGCCGAGGTTTGCCGAAAGCTCTCGGCCAGTAAAGTTTACGGAGATGACCAAGCGACAACCGTGGTAGGGCTAATGCCAGTAAAAAGCTAATGTACAAATACAAAATTCAAAAGAATTATACGTCCTGATAGGTGTAGATCAGTTTACTGTTTAAGATTGTTGCTAAAGACGGTAAGCTTTTTTAAAAAGCTCTACTTGTATATCTCAATAATCTGCTTCTCCTAAGACGAAGTTCATATTTTCAACGCTGTGATCACACATTTTTTTTTATAATCTTAAGGAATTAATATTGTTAAAACCAAATCACTTACCGTAATTTTGTGCATATAGGTAAGGTATGTAATTTGTTTGTGAATGTTTTTAAAAACCCACCTTATCTTGATAATAATTAAATTTATTGTATTTAACAAAAGACTCCTCGCCAATGGATAAGAATCGCATAATGGTTTAAATTTAAGAATCGATACAGTGCTAGACATGAGTAGAACAATGAAAAAATATCTTAGGATCAGTCATTATTTTAATCAAATTAATTGTAAGATGTATGACGAGAAAGTTAGTTTACAGCAAAATCATGTATAATATTTCAAAGAGCTCTGGATTATGAAAGTAAACTACTCATTACTGAAGAGGAAAATTTCAATTTTGATTTATTCATCTCGATAGGTAAAAAAGAGATCAATGTTTGACAGATACGAGTATCTATTTTGTAGGAATTAAGTGTGGAGAGTATAAATTCACACCAGTATTTTTTCAAAGCTTGAATTTCAGGCATCAGAATGATACAATATGATGGGACTCAAAATGTATAGAATAGTTTTTGGAAAGATTCTAATCTTATGATGAATATTTAAAAAGTAATCTGTCCAAGTGCATATCTAATGTATACGTCATCAGGAGAAAAATCCTTTATATTATCTATTTTATGTGCAAGACGAACTATTGGTAATGAACAATGTTGAGCTGCGATAATTGTCATACATGTATTTTTTCTCTCGTCCAGGCTACTGAGCTTACCAGAAGGCCCATCGAACTCTTTTTACCAATTACACTGAGGTATGACTAGTCATACGCATTTGACATTTGTTTCAAATGTCTCTCTCTCTCTCTCTCTCTCTCTGAAATATATTGATGAAGCGTTTTAGTGTTTTTTTTATTAAAAGAACGTCAAGGAAATTTTACATGCTATATAGTACATGTTATTGAAATAAAGCCACCAGATTGATCCACAATTGAATAAAAAGAAAATAAAATAAAAAAAAAATTAACATGTCATTTCTAATCATAAACTTCCATCTGCTTACCTTTAAGAATGCAATGAATTTTGTTATTTAGTAAAAGGTACAGCGAATCCTTATATTCGTCACCGAGTCAGTTGTAACAGTATTAAACCTAAATTCACACTAGACCTTATAACAAGAAAACATATCGAAACAGCATCATGTTATCTACTTATAGAGTTAAACACGTTTAGATAAGTCTACTGAAAATTATATTATTTACACGGTACAGTACAAATGATTTAGTAACTCCTTTTGTATTATTACTAGTTTATGTATTACATGCATTGGATTAGGCTATGATAATTGTATATCATATTCTTTTTCGGTTCCTTCTCTATTTTTCATTTTTCTTTTATCCATCTCAAGAACTTGAAGTCTTCTGACTGATATAGCATGCCGTGTCTTTAGATCTATTTCAAAAAATTTTGCAGAAATGAATTTAGTTTCCTGCACTCCATAAATCCAGGTGTTCGGACCTACAGAGTTAGACGGTTTCGCCTTTCTTTGAAATGTTTTTCCATTGAGAAGATCAAAATCAATATGAGAGCAAAATTCCACTGCAGTATCCAGGAATTTCTCTAAGGCATATTTTTCGGCTGCTATGATGTAATCCAATAGTGACATCACTGTCAGACTTGTTCCTGGTTTACACATGCTTATCATGAAATCTTCACAATCATCAACAAGAGGCGACTGGTATTCGTGGGCCAAAGGTAGTACTTGCAGTACATTGTGCCCTGAAGAAATGAATTAATTTCATTATTAGCATACGTTAATATTACAATATATTTACATTTCCAATGTCTTTGTCCTAGATAAAATTACAAATTGGAACATAAATCCACTGATTCCTCGATGCGTGATATTACAAAATCATTTCAATGTTAAAATGTATAATAAAATGCCATTCCAATGTTGTAATAGATATACCTGTTACTGCATATTTCATGTTTGGATAAAAGCATCTAAGAAACTCCACAACATCCTTAGCTCTTTTGTTTTCCAATTTTATCTCCTTGGCAGTACTCTCTTTAAAGCCTCCAGAAAACATGGCGTTAAACACCGGTGAATGCTGGGAAAGAACGGCTTTGTTGACGTGAATTTTCTTATTTTCTACAACTAGAATTACATTTGTTTCTGGAAACCCAATGTCGTCAAAATAGTCCACACTCTCTGACGTTATTACTTCTAAAAGTAGAGATAAAATTTAGATCAAGAATTGATTAATCTCTTTTTAAAGACACACTCCTAAACAAATTTTCAACACACACACTCTCACATACACACAAAGTATAACATTTATAAAGGTTTTCATATTTTTTTCAACGTAAACCTAATAAGATATACCAGTGTTGTAGACCTGGGTGTAAAATATATAAATGGACACTTGAAGGTCCCCCAGAAAACGTTATAGTACATGTAACTGAACTAAATATAAAACAAATTCTAAAACTAAAATTAAAAAGGTGCGCAAAATCATGCGTACTCGAATTAGACTCGGTCTCAGTAACATCAGGCAGTGCAAATTTATATATTACTTTCAAATTCTTAAAACAAACCAATTTTACAAGAATCAATATAACATGAAAACCCACTACTTTTCAACGTTTTATACAACCATTCCCTACGATATGTTCTAGTTGGGGATTGTTGACATTATGAACAACTTACTTTGCCAATGGGTATCATTTACAAAATAATTATTTTGAAACATTTTGATTGTACAAGTCTTCCACCAATCTGTCTGAATTCCTATTACATGTAGTACCTACTGCACCTCCTTCTAAGAAGAGCCATTTTTGTATTCATAATGAGCGGAATAAAATGAAATTTTCTACAGGACACTATCATGAGAAGAAGAAGAAAATGTTTATTGTGGCCCAGAACAATTACATGTAGGTATGTCGACTGCTATTATCAACAGTAATTTAATTTGATTCTTCATTCATAGGTCTACTCAATATATTCAAATATACCTGAAATAAAAAACAATCCACAGCTGTTGACATCTGTTTCATATTTGGAAATTTTATATGCACTAAAAGATTCGCAAACAACAAAACATAAACGTCATGACTAAAACATTTTATCGACAACTTCCTTAATTTTATTTATGTAGCGGTATACGCTTATCATAACAATTCTATGTCGCCCAGTTGTCTCAAGACGCAGTTCAATTCTACATATGAACAATTTCTGCAAGCATGCAAGCTATTGACGAACACATCGATTTAATAAGAATATCAAAAGTCCCGTGTAAGGAAACATTTCACTGATCGATACGATGGCCGTGTCAGCAAATAAATGTAAAAATTAAC